GAGAAGATCAAGATCTAACCTTTGCAGCATTAGGGAGGTGGGTTAAACAGCGCAGCCAAGAGCTCGTGTAAGAGTGGTGGCAGAAGTATCGACCGAAACGATACAAAGATCTGGACCTATTCATGCGTTGTAAAAGACCCTCGAAACTAGCTTTAGCAAGACGGGCGTACCATCGTCTTATTGTGGCGATGTGAAGGGAACCCCGAGTTGGTGATCATAATGTCGATTTAATAAACTGTATAAAGAAGAAAGATAAATCTAGCTACAACTAACGGGTATTTATAATATTCAGCCCCTCAGTGATTGTCTTGACTGATTTCTTCACCCTAGGCCGAATACTTGCCACCCAGCCACATATTATCAAGAATCACTACGCTGTGACACTGATCTGGCCCCTTGGCTGGTAGTGCCGTATCTTCCAGTTTCCTCTATCATTTCCTTACAGTCTTACAACATGAATCTTCAACAATACGCTTAGGTATCCACATAAGCTCAGACAACGGTCAAACCGTAACAGGCGATTACAGACTACAGGGACTACACCAACTACCATCGACTTATCAAACCCGAACATGAGGATCTGAAATGCGTTTGCGGCTGAGGGAAAAGGCCCTGGCAATTTTCAGAGTTTCGACCTGCTTTGCTACGTTGGAGAAGCTATGAGAAAATGGCCCCACCTGGGGCCAGGGAAATGATAGAAGAGAAGGGATGGTAGAAGTTCATTCAATTCTTAACTTCAAGGAGATGTTATAGTCTGCCGAGGAATGAACAGGGTGGAAGGTGACCACGCTGAGATTGTTTCTGACCCGAGAGGAGATGGGTGTGGAAGATAGGGATGCGGCGCAGGGCACCGTAACTCAGACATATACTGTTCATTTTTTTTTCTTTTCTTTTGTCGCTTCTGGCTCCACTGCCGGTCATGTAGGTAGCAATGAGCTTTTAGAGCCCATCTACCCTTGTCACGTCAAAATAGATGTTAGGTTCTTCCTGTGACGTAAAAGATTTCAAATTCAAATTCAATCGATATTATCTAAAAATACACATCTATTTTAAAAATAATTGCTCTGAATTACAAAAGTCTACATCGAGGCCCTCAGTGTGGCTCACAACTAAATTGAAAGCGTACTACATGTTTTGTATTAGACTGCTCTATCCCAATACTTTGTGTACCCTCCATTTTCCTTTATCACCGCTATACATCTTTTGTGCATGCTGACCACACTTAACAGAGGCTTCTTCCGAGCAATGCATCTGCTGTAACCCATTTTAATGAGGGCTTTTGAAAGTTAATGCTCATTGCATCCCCAGTGGCTGAAGGATCCCATTGCTAGTTCCAAAGAGCACATCTGTCGATTTTCAGGAGATTCCCGGACGAAAGCCTCAAGCTCATCAACTTGTTCCGCACTTAATTTTAGTGAGGGTCCCTTGCGAGGTATAGGATTCTCAGTATCTTGAGCACACGCAAGTTGCACTTGCCTTCTTGTGAAGCCAAGTTCGTCGGATATATGTTGTAATGTCAAGCCAAGTCTTCTTAATGTTCTTATTTCAATACATTGATTGCGAGTTAGATGCCTGCAAACTTTAGTTTCTGAAGTAGACTTTTCCAGAGACATTGTTTGCTAGAATAGAGGATGAATTGATAGAGATGTTAAGAGTCAGAGGCTATGTTGGTTGGGGAGTCAAGAGTGTCGTTGAAAATGTGTTTCTCTAACTGATTGTTTGAAGAAGCCGATTGGATCATACTTCATGGCGAGCGGGGTAATGACGAGAGACAGTCTAACCTATTGCGAGCTAGCCCAACTGCGCCTACAGGGATAACCCCTTAAACAACCCAGTTTCATGCCTGACATTTGTAACCTAGAGGCACTGTATACCAGAGAGCACCACCAAGATGTGGACCATGGTACTGTCCATCATTTTTTTAATTCAGCTATTTATCTATGCCACATGGCACCGTCCATCGTTTGCTTATTTTTATAGTGTCAGCTACACTCTCGCAAGCGAAGTCTTGCCGCGCACAAAGCTCAATTCGTAAGACTCTTGCCAAAATTCGAAATTTCACGCCCGTCGAGAATGTATCCCTCTTCTGCATCATCTTGTAAACTTGTCCTGATCCCTCTCACGACCATCCCAAAGAGCTATTTCTCGGATTTGTGCATCACGCTTTTCTTCCTCCATCGGGTATAAATATCGGCGAGGGCGTGTATTTGGTGACCAGCTTAGGCCAGAGAATAGTCGATGAGAGGTGTAGTCACTGAAACGAGAATGTACTAGGTCGTACTTGTAAACCTGATGAGGCTTAGGTAGGAGTCAAACTAGTTGGGAACGAAAAAACGACGTGGAGTAACTTGAATCAATGCCTCGTGGGCCAACTTATTTGGTATTGCGAAGTTTGACTGAACTTGGCTCCGGAAGAAAATTTCACTCCCAGGTTCATAGAGGACACCACGTACAGGTGTTCAGTCTTGCCCTCCCACTGAAACCTCATGTCGCCCAGCTAAGCATAACCACATGCAATCGAATCAATTCAATTGGTCTTGACGATCATTCTTAGAAATCTGAACCTTCATACATACTAAGTCTAGATTTCCAACACTATTCTCAACATCTATCAGTGGTGTCATCTACGAACCTCCAGCTCTCACTGTAGAGTCTGCAGAGCCGAGATTTAGTAACACCTTCGTCCTCATTTCGTCGGGGATTCCAAATGACTTTCGCGTTCTGTATCGTCTTCATCTCTCAACACATCCCCTTATCACCATTATCATGAAGCTAACCACGATCAGATCAGATGGTAGGGTCGGAGCTCTACTCATCACCAACCCTTGATCATGGAAGAGAAGCCATCCAATGAGTTTCCGGAGCGTACCCAGCACACGATACGGCGATGGTGGATTGGATCAAGTCGGCCTCTAATGTTACAAAGAAGGGAGATCTAGGTGGATATGCGCACCTCGTGTGGTCCCTGTGTCTAAGCCTCGCCTGGCTTTGGCTGCAGGTTTTCCGAGACTTTTTCCCGCGCAATGAGTTTCCATTGCCACCCTTCATATTTTCTTTGGTTGAAGATTCTATGGAAAAAGTGGCTGAATAGCTATTCATCGCGGGCAATATATGTTGAAAATCTTGACTTAGTATATATGAAGGTTTAGATTTCTAGGTATGATCATCAAGATCAATTGAGTTGATTCGATTGAATATGATTAAGTTCAGTTGGGCGAAATAAGTTTCAGTGGCTAGGAAATGCTACCTTGCGATTATTATTAATTCATTTTATTGTCATCTCTGAGTCTATGATTATGTAGGACATGCAGGTCCTCTCTGCCTACAGGCCAAGGATACCTATGCCTCCCATACAGCTCCCATCAAACAGTACCTCCCCTCACAAGTCCTCATTCGATCATACACTAAAAGGAGCCCTTTGCCCTTCATTATCTCCCCTTTCCAGCCAACGAAACGATGGCCATTTGCGGGTGGATGGCAGCCGGAAAAAATCGCAAAAACCACTGGGTGCAGAGCACTCCTAATACCGATATTAGGACTAAATCCGAAGACATAATGATCCTCCTGAAGCGTTCGAAGAGGCCGGCCAGCTGGGCGCTGCAGACTTGTGGGTACCTGCTACCTTGCGATAATTGAGTGGCCGGCTGTTGCTAGATCACTGGAAGTTCGGGATCTGTATTTAACGATAGACTTACTTGTATATGTTAAACCAAGTGAACGGAATATTATATATTATTAATTCATATTGAGAAGAGAGTTCGATATCACATACAACTATCAATAAAATCTTGTCCGAAATTGTATACTTGTTCTTCGAGATATTTCCACTTAGAAATCCTTGACAATTTCTAACAATATATCAATAACCCTACAAGTAACAAAAGAGGCGAGAAGCATTGTACAAGGTGTGGCCAGGGACAGAAAGGAGTCCAAGGTGCCAGATAGTCTATGACTCAAGTAGTAAAGTAAATATACCTCTCTCTCTCTCTAACGGGTAATCCAGATCTCTATATGACATTTCGCTACCTACATCGTTGTTTCGTACAAACTTAGAAGTGCAAAAAAAAAGAGTGCCCTGCACTACACCTTAATCCTCGTACCACGCCAATCGGTCCCAAGAAGCATTACAGTTGATCTTTTAACCCCCTGTTTATGATTCATTCTTGCTGTAACACTTTGTTACAGTTAAAAAAAAGTCGGAATTTCTGCCATCCGTCCTGCCCTATTATATCCCTGATCGTCGGATGTGGCTCTTTCGTTTCCGTCCTCCATTTCTGGATAATCGGGCGACACTCTGCAAAATCCCATGGCCGCTTTTTTCGGCCACATTTGCAGAGTATTTCTTCATTCGAGTGTTGGAACCGTCTATGATAGCTGGCGAAGTCACCATGCCCAGTCCTTGCTGCGATGAGGCGGTGATATGCCCATCGAGGTAGAGCTAGCTCCGGATGGCGTTTTCTTCGCATCAGTAGATCCAGATCTTCATGCCTACTCGATCTGTTCTTAAGCCACCGTTCTTCCGCAAGTTTTTGTACCCGGATAATGACTTGGCGCTTGAGAGCTGCAAAATTCATAACTTCGTGGTCCCTATCCAGATGTGAGTAGGCATAATGATTTATTTGGGTTGCCGGACGCAAATAGGTTGGAAGCCTGAGGACATTTTTATGTCTTGGCTCAAAGGAGAAACGCGTCTATCTAGTCTATTAACCTTATCACGTGAATCTGACGCGTTGTAATGAAACTTGGACTCAAACCCTTTTCAGTCATACGAACTATCAACGAATTTCACAATGGGAATTAAACAGCTCTTCTCCATAATCAAAGAAGAATGTCCAGATGCCTTCAGGGAAGGGGATATTAAGAACCAATTTAGCCGAAAAGTAGCCATTGTGAGAGAAACCTCCCACTTCAAAACACCGTCCTGGCTGACCTTCCAAGGATGCGTGAGGATAAAATATAACCGTAGATGAACCTTACAAATAACTGATTTTACTAGCTCTATGTGTATCTACAGTTTTCTCATCGCTGTACGTTCAAATGGCGAGATGCTTACGAATGAGAATGGTGAAACGACGTCACATCTTATGGGCATGTTTTACCGCACACTACGCATTGTAGACAATGGCATCAAACCTGTTTACGTCTTCGATGGCGCACCACCAAAGCTCAAGTCTGGGGAACTCGCGAAACGGTTCCAACGTAAGGCTACAGCTGCCGAGGGTCTTGAAGAGGCGAAAGAGACAGGGACTGCTGAAGAAGTTGAAAAGTTTTCCAGAAGAACTGTTCGGGTAACGAGGGAACATAATGCGGAGTGCCAGCGACTGTTGAAACTAATGGGCATACCCTTCATCATCGCGCCGACCGAAGCCGAAGCACAATGCGCCGTTTTAGCCCGAGCTGGGAAAGTGTATGCTGCTGCCAGCGAAGATATGGATACATTATGTTTTGATTCTCCCGTACTCATGCGTCACTTAACGTTTAGTGAACAACGAAAGGAGCCTGTGCAGGAGATATTTGTTGATAAGGTCTTAGCAGGCCTCAAAATGGACCGTGCACAGGTAGGTTGCCCTCCTATATGCGTCATCACTAACATGACTTAGTTCATTGATCTATGTATCTTACTTGGTTGTGATTACCTAGATCCTGTACCAAAAGTAGGGCCCCACACAGCCCTAAAGCTCATTCGCGAGTACGGGTCACTCGAAAAATTCGTTGCAGCCATAAATTCTGGAAAAGCCAAGTACACTCTTCCGGAAGACTGGCCCTATACTGAGGCCCGTGAACTCTTTCTTCAGCCAGATGTTTATCCAGCTGATCACGAGAAATGTAACTTTAAATGGGAACAACCTGACGTAGATGGCCTGATTCAATTCCTCGTAACAGAAAAGGGATTTTCGGAAGATAGGGTCCGCTCTGGCGCAGATAGATTGAAGAAAAACTTAAAAACAAGTCAACAGGCTAGACTCGAAGGCTTCTTTAAACCAGTAGTAAAGACTGAAGCTGAAGTACAAACATTGAAGCGCAAAAGCGATGCGAAGAACGAGCAGAAAAAGAAAAGGCTAAAAGAAGAGAAAAAAGACAAGAATAAGGCAAAGCCAAGAGGTGTAGCCTAAACTACGACACAAACCGTCTTGGCCCCAGTACAACTCTCTCTGACGAAAACTCTCACTTTAGGTCTTGAATCTCCAATCTGGATATAATCCTCTTCATTTAAGCGACAGGGTTTGGCGTTGGCGCTGGAGTTTTGGTCATGCAGAGAAATGACAAGAGAGACTTTTCTAATAGTAACAAGTAGGTCGTGTTGACCATCTTTTCATCACCAATTCAACCACATTTCATTAGAGCTAATAATAAATTACGTCCTCTACAAAACTCATATACTGGTCTACAATTTCACTCTCTAATATCATATATCCACTTGGCTAAATTACGATTTTGATGCACCTCAATGAGTGTTGCCTCGTCACTTTAACTTCCAGTTCTATCGAACGATGTGCGCCCAAAATAGGGGAATTGAGATAGAAGGGAAATTTTTTAACAAACACGGATACTCTAACTTGAATTGAGCGACTGGTAGTAGTCGTATACAGCTAGCCTACAATACAATGTTTTTACATAAGCTCTCCTTCAAGCGCGTGACCACAAGAATAGCTATACTACTCCTGAAATTAAACCTGACCGCCGGCACACCATAGCCATAAGGTGGACCTCCTCAATTGGTTCACCCTCGTTCCTTCCGCCCTCGAGAAACTAGAAAGATATTGTGTTAGTTCTAGCGAAATGGACGTGGAGAAGGGAGTAAGCTACTTTGGTGTAGACATCTTCAAAACGCTTGAGGTTCTGCTCGACGCGCTCAAAGTCTAGCTCTTGCTGAGGTTCTGGACCGGGGTCGGCCCGAAGCGAGGGTGTTTTGCTAACGCGGCGCAAAGCCTGTATGTCTTGGAAACTCTGTTTAATTAAGCTACTAAGGGGAGTTGGCGCAAGGATAGGTGTCGAGGATGTGGCCTGAAGATTAGGGTTTGAAGATTTGGGGGTAAGTGATATCTTCTGAGCGGTTTTAGTGGCAATGCTGGAAGCTGACTTGGACGAGTGCAATCGTCCCGAGTGCATGGGCCGGCGATTCGATTGATGGATGGTGGCAGTGGCGGTCGGGGATGCGGGTAAGTGCTCAGTCGGATGGAGAGGAAGGGCAGGATCGTCAAGATTAGCTGGGCGACGACTTAACAGAACACATGGTGACGAACGCCTGTCGATTCATGTTCATTAGCTATATCCGGGCGAACAACGCAACGCCAGAATACAGTAACTGGCAGCGGATTCTATGCGTAGTAGAGACGGAAGGGTGGGTCGGAAAACTTACGGATGTCTCAAGCCGTCAAGACAAGCATCATCAAATACGCTTTCGTTTTTGCGTGAGAGAGAGTCTAACTTGTTCGACGCGTGTTCTGGACGCGCCTCGGTCGTATTCCGACAAAAAATGCGGCCCCCGAAGCTCTTAGCTTTCACTTGGATGGTATTATGTTAGCCTTTGGATGCTTTATCTTTGGCTCAAAAACCAACCGGGCTTGGTGGGAGGGGTTGGTGGGCTGAAGTTGCTCATTATTAGGATTTTGCTTATTACCGAGAGATTTTTGTGCAAGCGAACTGAGGAAAAGTGTTCAAAAGATTGATGATTCTTAGTGAAGGGATACGCCCTGAAGAAGTCTCAAAGGCATCACCCCCTTGACAAAGAATGTACGAGTCATCGTTTTTCCTGATCTCTTTGCGCTCACGCACCCGATCTCGAAGTGACGATTGGGAGGGGGCGGGAAGGGCATATTCATCCCCGGGAGACCAAGACGCATTTTCTTTGAGGCTTTCCGAGATTGGACCATGCGTTGGATGGTTAGACCATGTATTCTTTGTCCGCCGCTGGATCTGGAATTTTGGTATCTTGCATCGTTTGCACCAAAGGAGGAAGGGTGCCCGGCAGGGTCATTACGATCACGAACGCCCGTCTTGTCCGTAAACTTGGACATGCCTTCGTCGTACCCTGGCCCATGCAGAGTCCAGTCTGTCATATGCACGTGCGTTACTGTCATAAAAACGACTTGCAGAAACAGGCATCTAGGGGCGTCGAGCGAATTGGAGAGAAAAGGCATTTGTATCATCTCCTCGTGTGCTGTCAAATGTTGGTGGTGGCAAGTCGACATGTAATATTAAGACTTGACGACTTACCAAGGCCCTTGATTGGCACCGGGAAGCACAGCAGTTCGAGCTGAATCACTGGGGTAAGGGGGTCTGTGTACCTTGGCGTCAGTTAGTCTCTGCTTCAGGTACGTCGTGGAACCAGTTGAGCCTACCTTGGTTCAGTCTATTAATTCCGTGTAAATATAAAGTAGCGGAGCAGAGGTTTCAAATGATGAGAGAGAAATAACTTAAAAAGTACGGTCTTTAGTAATATTGAAGAGACGATTGTGTGGGTTGGGAGTAGGCTTGAAAGGCTGAGAATGACTTTCCTGAGGTACCCACAAGTCTCCCGCTTTGAACGCTTCAGAAGGGAAGCTATGTTTTCGGATTTAGTCGTGATATCGGCATTAGGAGAGCCCTAATCCGGTGGTTTTTGCGATTTTCCCCGGCAGCTACACACCCACAAATTGCTATCGTTTCGCTGGTCTGAAGGAAGAAGTACCAATGGTAATACGATTGCTTTGAAATTCTACTGAAAAACGTGTGGGGTCATATCCGCTGGTGAGAAGTCATGAAGGAGGGGGTGGAGTTGGAAGAGTTTGTTAGATGGAGTAGTGTGAGTTTACTGTACTGTTTGAGTCACAGATTATCTAGCAAATTGAGCTTCTCTCAGGCCCAGGCCACACCTTATACAGTGCTCCTTGCCTCTTTTGTTACTTGTAAGATCATTGATATATTGCCCGTGATGAATAGCCATTCAGCTCAGTATTTACCCGTGGAATTCAGCCACCTTTTCCACGAAACCTTCTACCCAAAAAAATGGTGGCAATGGAAACTGATTGCACGGGAAAGAGCCTCAGAAAACCTGCAGCCCCAGCCAGGCGAGGCCTAGACACCAGGACCACATGAGGTGCGCATGTCCATCTAGATCTCCCTTCTTTGTAACATTAGAGGCCGACTTGATCCAATCCACCATCTCCGTATCGGGTGCTGGGTACGCTCCGGAAACTCATTGGATGACTTCTCCTCCATGATCAAGGGTTGGTGATGAGAAGGGCTTCGACCCTGACATCTGATCTGATCGTGGTTAGCTTCATGACAGTGGGGGGTTTTTTTGCATCAATGATAGAGGGGATGGGGGAATGTGCTTAAGTATAAAGATTATGCAGACCGCGGAAGCGATTTCGAATCCCCGACGAAGTGAGTACGAAGGTATCATTCAACCTTGGCTCTGCAGACAACAGTCAGAGCTGGAGGTTCGTGGAGGACACCGCTGGCGGGTGTTGGGAATAGTCCCCTAGCAGGGAGTACACCAGCCGGTCCTACATACTCCTGGACCATAGACAGGAAGGTCCCGTTCGTCTATATCTATTCATAGACTCAATAGGACAAAAAACAAAAAAATTACATGTCTTGACGGGAGTATGAAGGCTGAACATAAAGGGCAAGACTGAACACCTGTACGCGATGCCCTCTACGAACCTGGGAGTGGAATATACTCCCAGAGCCAAGACCAGTCAAATTTCGCAATACCGAACAAGTTGACCCACGAGGCAATGATTCAAAATACTCCACCATCTCAATCTTTCACTCCCACGCCGATATTTACACCCAACGGAGGAAGCAAAGCGTGGCGTACAAATCTGGGAGACAGTTCTTTGGGATTGGCATGAGAATTTCCAGGACAAGTTAATAAGATAATGCGAAGGAAGAATTCAGACCCGACGGGCGTGGAATTTTGAATACTGGCAAGGAGATTTTACAAATTGAGCATTGTGCCTGCCAGGTCTTCGGTTACAAGAATGCTGGCTACAATATAAACACCGCCATGGTTGGATGGTGCGGTGGTACATCGTCTTGGCCGGTCTGCCAAGTAGACTCTGGATAGCTTGGACACGTATCCCACTCGGGGCAGGAGATCGCTGGTTCAAATCTGGCAAAATACATTCGCTTTTCTCGCGGCGCTGGTATACGTGGATGACGAACTTATGCTTGGATAACCAAAGGTTTTGAATTTCATTTTGGTGGGGACTTACGGAGGAGGGTCGACTGTTTGTGTTAGCGAATACACCTCATAGTGGTATTTGCAAATGAAATACAGAGTATGAGTGTCTCTAACGTCAAAAGAGTCTTCCAAAATGTATACATAGCATCGGTCATGTGTCATAGCTCTATAGCTGAATACACTTAAATGATTTTTAAAAAAAAAGATATTGTTTGATCCTTAAGCTCCTGATAATGAGTATGACTCACATTTGAGTCATGCATTTATATGAGCTTGTATAACTAAAGTCATGTTGTTTCATCACTGAGTCTGTGAAGCCCTTATTTCCTTGCGCAGAATAGGATCACAACATGTTCACCGGTATAGTTTGAGTAGCCTGGGTACCTACTCCACTTGGGAAGGAGATGCCTAAGACCATATTTCGCGCGGAGGAAAGTTGAAAGATGACGGAGGCATGTCTGGATAACTCAAGGTTTATGAGACGTTCCCCTGGGTGGGTATTTACGGATGAGGGTTGACTTGGGGTGAAGAAAAAGCCGGCATAACTTCGCAGTGGTACTTGTCAATGAAATCTGAGGTATGAGTGCTCTTCTACGGTGAATCATTTGTTTTGTACTTTTCTTTGATATTGTATCATTGCTAGATAGCTGCATACGCAGTTAAAATCTGATGCCAAAGCTATCACTACCTCGACATTATAGCGCCCATATATACGTTGCCCGCTCTGAAAATAGAGATTTAGCAGCCTATTATAATCGCTTCAATCGCCACCTCACCCACAATACCTGCAGCTGCAGCGAACTCAAGTCCCATACACATTTCCTAAACTGTAAACTGATCACATCAAGCCTCCTCAAACCATCCAGGGTTGTTCAGACAAATTGAAGTTCTTTCTTGGGACCCCCACAGGAGCATCAGAACTTGTACAATGGCTCGAAAAATCACAGTTCTTCACCAAAATTTGTCTCCGGATTCTTCCTGAGACATCAATAAACGATGCTTAGCAGCAGTTCAAAGAAAAAGAAAAATAAGAGAGAGCTTATGGGCTAAATTTTCTTTTCTTTCCTATCGTTTAATCTAGCATGTCCGGAAGATATTCTTCCCGCTATGACTGGCCCTCCTCCCCTCCGTGAGACATAAATTACCGTAGACAGCGTGACGTATTAAGTCAGGAGGACGAAGGCTGAACACCTGTTAGTGGTGCCCTCTACGAACCTGGGAGTGGAAATTTCTCCCAGAGTCGAGATTCAGTCACGAAAATGGGTGGGATGAATTTCAATTGATGGATTTTCGACTTGAAGGAGTTGCAATCTATATTTTGGTCGAAAGATCAGCCAGCAAAGATTTCACAGCCGGAACAAAGTTGAACAAAAACTCACCACTACCATCATACGATTCATGAATGGATTTAGGTCTGTCAGGGGGTCGTATTCAAACATCTGACATCTCTCAAACTCCTTTTATATTTGTGACGAAGCATTTCTCAGTCGATCCTATACCTGCGACCCACTTCCATACTCGTCCCATCACCTACCTACACACGCCCTAAGGAGGAAAGTCATGATAGAAACGGGACGCGTACAAAGGAGGAAGAAAAGGGAAGATACACCGAGGGGATTAAACAAATCCCCAATGACGACAACAACCCGACGGTACGATAAAGGTGCAAGGCTGGAGCAACGATGAGATCTTGGACGGCATTTATAATTCGGAGTCAATAAGGATGTCAAGGGCCCGGGCGCGTGGTGGCCAAGGCTGAAGAGGAAATTGCGCTACGGCGTGTATACAGCGGGTTTCTGGACGGTTAGGCTTGGTATGATTCAACACATAGGTGAAGTCTGAGGTGGTCCGGTCATTAAAGTGGGACGGGGTTTATCTGTACTTCACGGTAGTTAACCTGATCCGGCCCAACCCCACACGTGCTTAAGCTCCAGTAGGAGTGCGACGGTATTTACTTCACCTAGCAGGTTAATGAACAAACAAACAAAATTCGAGAAATTCGAAAATTCCCATTTTCCCATTTTCCATTCCTATGATCACTTCTGTGCTTGACTTCTCGAATTGTTAACCGTCGCGAGGTATTTAAAATGCCTCCGGTGAGAAAAAATCGCCCAAAGCCGACAACTTCAGCCGGCTTTGAACGGACACCATTGTGTCCAAAACCTACTGGCCTCGCGCAAAAATTATCAAGCCTATTTGCGAGTGAGGCCTTTGTCCCAGGGAAGTCCACAAATCTTCCCGATCAAGAGATGACTGATTCTGAACCGATCAGAGCAGAAAACAATGGTCCCAAGACCAAAACCCCCGTCGGACTGCCCTCTTTGGCAAGCAGCTCCAGGAAAGGAAAGGAAGTTGTTCGAGAAAAGACAACCGAACGTGCAGAATCATCTGCAGGAAACAATGCTGTGCCAGCCTCTAAAGGCGTA